AAAAAAGTGAAAAAACAGCATAAATTCCCTAAAAGTGACCCGATCATGCTGATTTTCGAACTTGACCTGCGTATTATGAATATTCATCAGTTCTGTAAGTTTCAAGTCAAAAGGTAAAATGGTTTTCCACTTATCGTGTTATCGGTGCTGCATATATGCTGAAAAAAGTGAAAAAACAGCATAAATTCCCTAAAAGTGACCCGATCATGCTGATTTTCGAACTTGACCTGCGTATTATGAATATTCATCAGTTCTGTAAGTTTCAAGTCAAAAGGTAAAATGGTTTTCCACTTATCGTGTTATCGGTGCTGCATATATGCTGAAAAAAGTGAAAAAACAGCATAAATTCCCTAAAAGTGACCCGATCATGCTGATTTTCGAACTTGACCTGCGTATTATGAATATTCATCAGTTCTGTAAGTTTCAAGTCAAAAGGTAAAATGGTTTTCCACTTATCGTGTTATCGGTGCTGCATATATGCTGAAAAAAGTGAAAAAACAGCATAAATTCCCTAAAAGTGACCCGATCATGCTGATTTTCGAACTTGACCTGCGTATTATGAATATTCATCAGTTCTGTAAGTTTCAAGTCAAAAGGTAAAATGGTTTTCCACTTATCGTGTTATCGGTGCTGCATATATGCTGAAAAAAGTGAAAAAACAGCATAAATTCCCTAAAAGTGACCCGATCATGCTGATTTTCGAACTTGACCTGCGTATTATGAATATTCATCAGTTCTGTAAGTTTCAAGTCAAAAGGTAAAATGGTTTTCCACTTATCGTGTTATCGGTGCTGCATATATGCTGAAAAAAGTGAAAAAACAGCATAAATTCCCTAAAAGTGACCCGATCATGCCGATTTTCGAACTTGACCTGCGTATTATGAATATTCATCAGTTCTGCAAGTTTCAAGTCAAAAGGTAAAATGGTTTTCCACTTATCGTGTTATCGGTAAAAGTGCACGGCGACGACGGCGACGACGGCGACGACGGCGACGACAGACACAGATGATGGCTATATGTACAGACACATCTGTGTCTGTACCCAAAAAAAAAAATAAAATAAATAAAATAAAATAAAATAAAACTACTGTAACAAAAAATTGATTAAGCAAAATTTAAGAAATATGAAATTAAATTTTTACTTGTGAAATATGAGTCACAGTGGTTGGAAATTTGGAAAGTGCTTGAAAATAACTTATTTTATTAAGTGATTTCTTTCCAAAAACCACAATACAATATTCAATACAGGTGCCAGTTTTATGTGTAGTATACGTATATCTAAGTCATAAAATATCTTCAAACACACAAATGCATTCACATATTTGTTTCACCTCACCAGTAAATTCATGATAAGGATGGACATGAGAACCAAGAAGAGAATAAAGATGGTATATGTGACCCCCTCATAGTAGACCTGATCACTGTGCATGTTTTGCCCCTCAGGTGTGATCTCTGTAGTGTATTGAGTATCAAACTCAAACTCTCCTATCATCATTACAGTTGTCTTCAATAAAGATCTGGCTGGAGAGCTGAATGACGCCTGAAATCAAACTTTAAGTGATGAGAATTAAGTTCTTAATTAAATGTGATCTAAGTTATATACAGTAGGTACACTTTGAAATCTCAATTGGTCATGCTTTTATTTTTCAAATATATTGGACTTGCATGGGTTTAATAATATTTTATAAAAGCTGATGAATGCAATCACAGATATTGTTCTGCAAAACAGCACATACACAATTTATATGGTCTGGATGGTGTGCAAGTGGAATGATCATTTAAGCTGGACTATATAATATTTAAGGTACACAACAAGAATGTCTTTTTTTCTCCTCACTTGGTTTTTCAACAACACATGGAAGGTCAATCCAAAGGCCACTATGAACAAAACAAAGACAAGGAAGAATTGGCAGAAGGTCCAGAGGATGTCTGTGAACATCACTACATAGATTCCAAATCTTGGCAACTTTCTTATGAACAACAACAGCTCAATCCAGGCCAGGAATAGTGCAATGGCTCCCACGTTCCACTGCCATGGCTAAATGTTGACAGAGAATATCTTTGGGTACACAAATTTAAAAAATCTTGAATATATTTACATATAATGTTAACACTTAAAATTTATATTTTAAACTTGCATAAAACTGTATAAAGGAAAAGTATTAACAAACAAAATGGAACTTAAAGGATAGGGAATTTAAAAAGGCACAATTGCATATTTCATTTATTTATTAATCAGAATGACAAAAAGATAACCCAATGGCATATTTTTATTCTTTTTCATCAATAATGTAGTTAAAACAAATAAACACAATTGCATCATTACTCACATGCCTGATATGAGGGTTGCTCATCTGACATGAATCCCAGTCCATCACCAGTAAGAATGCAGGCACATATATCAACCATTCAATAAGGTTTTCTACATTCACATAGCTCATCTTTGAGTAGCATATTTGATACAACTGTAAAAAAAATATTTGAAATTTACATGATTTCATCATCTTTAAAATAACCTGGAACTTCATCTTAATAACTGGGAACACTGACAGTTGCAGTTAAAGAACAGAGCATGAAGTTACAACTTAATTCAAATAAAAGAAAGGGGTAGACAGGGTAATGTCTCCTTATCACCAAATTTTTTCAACTTGTATACTGAAAAAATATTCAGAGAAGCTGAAGATATGAAAGCTGTGAATAAAGAAGGAATCATTATAATTAATAATCAGAGATATGCAGATGGTACAGCTTCATAAACAGAAACTAATTCAGAATTACAAAAGTTAGTAATGATCAGTCAATGAAAACCCTACGGAATGGAAATAAAGCAAACAAAAACAAAAGGAATATTAATGAGGAGAAAAAAATGTGTAGAGAATAGAAATTGCAAGATTTAGCATTTTTAATTTTAGTGAAAGTTATATATAAAGTTCAAGATACATTAGCATCAATCTTTGGCTGTCTATCATTAAATGTTAACACTTTTATACAGCTCAGAGATATTGACACTAACAAAACAACAATGGAAAAAACGTAAATGTTTGAAATGTGGGTGTATAGAAGGATGTTTAAAGTATCATGGACTGAGCAGAAAAGAAATGAAGGGTTGCTACATAATCTATAAAAATTAAAAGGTCATCATTATTACACCACCAAGAAAATCAGAAAAGAATTTCATCAGCTGTGTTATGTTATAAAAATAATGTGATTTTTTTCTTCAGTCAACAGCTAATATTGAGATCTCAATATTAGCTGTTGACTGAAGAAAAAATCACATCGTTCTCACCACCAAGAAAAGAAATCCACCTTTAGCTTATTTTGGTCTCATCATGAAAAAGATAATTTGCATTGGTTGCTGTTGGCAGGAAAAGTGTGAACAACAAGAACAACATGGATGGGCAACAAAAATGAATGGACTAATTAAAAAAATATAGTGAACAATGGCGCAAGATTGAGAGGAATAGTGATCCATGGCAGCCAATCTGCTGACAGTGGATGGCACCCAAATGAATGATGAATGAATCATCTTACACCCCATTTCCATAGATTTTTAGATCGATCTATCCCTGTGGGGAGTCTCACTAGATTACTGTCAGCTTGGCCGGCTTAAGCGTCTGTCCTGCCTACTAAAAGCTGTAAGGGGGTAATTAACTATGACCCCATTTCCAGAGATTAAATCGATCTACTTTAGATTGACCTAACTCCATGGGGGTTCACGCTAAATAGCTGTCAGTCGAGCGGACACAAAAGATAATTACCCCCTTACAGCTTGTAGTAGGCGGGACGGACATTAAAGCCGGATTATCTGACAGTAATCTAGTGAGACTCCCTGTGGGGATAGATAGATCTAAAAGCTCTGGGAATACAGCCTATGGTGCCCGCTCGGCTGACTGCAATTTAGCGTGAACCCCCAGAGATTTAGATCGATCTAAATCCTAATCTTTAGATCGATATAAATCTCTGGGAAAGCACTCTTAGTCCTCATGTTTATGTAAGATTATATAAATATATATTTTGCCACTATGAAAATAAGTTGCTGCAATTATAATTGAATTTATCTATCTCAGATTTCATTTAAATAATACTTACATCGAGTCCTCAAACATTAAAATACTGCAGTATTTTAGCCTTAACATACAACTTTTACCCATGGTATCAGAATTACAGTGTATTTCCCAATTATTTTACCTCCCTTAATGTTGTAACTATGGCCAGTGCCAGAACTATCCACTTCCCTATGGTTCCAAACAACAGAAGTGCTATGGGATACTGTACTGGCTGGTGTAAACCAAAGCTGGCCAGTTCCTGACAGGATACTGCATTGATATCAGTCCCATTCCAGGCAGTGCTAGAAAAAGTGAAAAGACAAAGAAGGCACTTTGTTTAAACATTTTGCAAATAAATAAATGATATTTCCCCTTAAAACCAGCACAAGTGATTTTGATTTTCATGATCTGCCCCACATTTACAATCTTAGTCTCTCTTAATCTCATCTATAAAATAACAACCAACGAGCAGACATGGTGGATTACCAAATAAATAAATAAATAAATAAATAAATAAATAAATAAATAAATAATGTGGGTTTAAGCATTATTTGTCTGTGATTGTTATCTGATGAATGAACTCCTACAGCAGAACTGACCCTCATTATAATTACTGACCAATCATATAATTATTATAAATACTTTCAATACTTACTAGTTCACCAGCATATATGGGGGTTCATGGACAAGCATATAGCCTGTCAGGAATGTCAGGAAGACACTGTAAATGATCAGATTGATATAGTAGAAGGCAGCTCCAAATTTTTGCCACTTGTGTTTCAGCAGGCTGGCTACCAGTGGGTGACTCAACAAGTCCTCTCTTTTTGAGGACACCTGTAATATTTCAGCATAATGAAATAATCACAAACTATAGATATATATGAGCAAAATATATATCACTTAGTTTTTAAAATATTTTGCATGGTTTTAAGAACCATTGCTTTGTGATTGCAATTGTGATTGCCAAATGTTAATTGTATGAATGGGTGCATGACAGTTATGTTTGATAGCCTTATGTTTGATAACTTGGTACTTCACATGTTCATTGGTCCGAAGGTTCTTTAGTCTGAAATCAGGTTCACTGATTGGTCTGAAGGTTCAAATACTGCATGGGAATATGCAATAGTCTGAACCCAATGACAGAATGTACAGATATGGTGTACAGTGTACGAAACATCATGCATTACTCCTAGAGTGCAAGCACCAAAATTGCAAATGATTTGGCCATGCAGCTTTCACTGTTCCTCTCCTTGTTTGTTTTTGTTTTTCTTGACTCGCGATTGACACTATTTCAGATGAGCAGAAGATACGAGTACTGATCAAATAAAGCTTTCAAAGACTCCAAGTCATAACATATAGTACACAAGTATTAATGCATATTTCCAACATTTTACAAATAGCTGTGTTTTATTAATAACATAATTATACACATTTCAATCTTAAGGTAGTTGACCCGGCCAGGCAAGGTCATAACAGCTATATGTCTGGGGAACTGAAATGTCTCGATCAGCCGCTGTGTATCTAAGGCACACACTTTTATTTGTTATGAGCAATGTTTTTGGCAACTATTTCTATTGAGCTATGTCAGTGAGAAGTCATTCAGTTTTTTAGCTGCAGTGATATTTACATACCCGCATTGTTCCCTAGTGCAGTTTTTACAAACCAGACCTTAAAAGAGTAGATAATTTAACAGGAAATGAATTTCATCTTAAAGCCTTTCATTCTCTGGTAGAGTTTCCCAATTTTCAACATTCTCAATTGTCCCACTTATATCATCACTAGAGCGGCTAAAATGGTGTGAATCAGCAAATTCAGATCACAAATAATACTACATGGTTTTCAATAAGACAATTAGTATAACTGGACTGACTTTCAATTAAGTTGTTATATGCAGTTGTCTTCCCTCTCACACATTCTCCCTTTGTAAACCAAGGTGTCCTCCATGGTGATGGGAGGTATCCCCCATTGTAAGGGTAGGTAATTGCTTGACCACTGAACTTCATTTTTGATCTTAAAGCAGAGTAAGGCCTTTTTATGACATTTTCTTTTATGATAAAGCCCATGAAAGATTATTTTGTGATATCAAATTGCTGATTAAGACAAATTCAAATGTACGTAATGCATCATGATTTGAAATACACATTAAGACACTTTCATGTATGTAGCAGAAAAGATTATTTTCCTGGAATTTGTTTTGGAACAACTTTTGTGCTGGTAATCTGATCATGTCAATTTTTGAAAGTAACTTTATTTAACAAACAATATTTTTTTTCTGTAAATTCTTTGGTCCTACTTTAAACTAATGAATTAAGTTTCAGGCTAATTATAACACTGTTGGACTAACAAATTAAAACTCTATGGCTGTATTCCCATAGATTTTAGATCGATCTATCCCCGCGGGGAGTCTCACTAGATTACTTTCAGATAATCCGACTTAAATGTCTGTCCCGCCTACTACAAGCTGTAATAAGGGGTAATTAACTTTCGTGTCTGCCCGGCTGACAGCTATTTAGCGTGAACCCCCAGGGAGTTAGGTCGATCTAAAGTATGTCGATCTAATCTATGGAAATGGGGTGTATGTTTGGGCTATTAGATGAACTTTAGATAAGTGAACAATTTTATTTTTNTATTCCCATAGATTTTAGATCGATCTATCCCCGCGGGGAGTCTCACTAGATTACTTTCAGATAATCCGACTTAAATGTCTGTCCCGCCTACTACAAGCTGTAATAAGGGGTAATTAACTTTCGTGTCTGCCCGGCTGACAGCTATTTAGCGTGAACCCCCAGGGAGTTAGGTCGATCTAAAGTATGTCGATCTAATCTATGGAAATGGGGTGTATGTTTGGGCTATTAGATGAACTTTAGATAAGTGAACAATTTTATTTTTTAAAAAATTGATGAAAATGTTAAGAATCTTAAATTTGGACAAATGAAACTTATAGGACCAATGAACCTTCAGAATATTGAGATTTAAGATGCAGTACAGATGTGACTAAATAATGTTGCAATATATATAACATACCATAATCTGCAATGGATGGTTTTTCTTCAAAATTCTTGAATCCTTCGAGTATGGAGGGACGTCAGGTTTAATGATATGCGTGTCTTCATCATAAATTGAATCTGAAAGGTAAACACAGAGCTCAGTAATTATACATATATATGTATATCTCTTCTCCAAGCAAAAAGTCAGCTGAAACGGGAGCCCAGGCTGCCAGAGAGACTGCCAGGGAGACTGCTCGTTAATTTGCAGTCTGGGGCTCCAGTGTGCAACTGTCTCCTTGAGCAGGCAGACTGCAAAGGGGGCTGCAATAACTTAAACTTTTTTGCAGGAGACTGCAAAGGAGGCTCCAGTAACTTAAACATTTTGCAGGGGACAGCAAAAGGGGCTGCAATAACTTAAACATTTCACAGGGGACTGCAAACGAAACTGAAATAACTGACATTTTCAGAGGATTATCTTGCACACCACTATATAGCTCTCATATCGAAACCGGCAACTGATTAAATTTGTATATCGTGGATAGTTTTTCTTACCTGAGCAGGATCCATCATCACTCTTCTCTCCCCAGTCTGCAAATGTGTCATCCAGGTATTCATAGTTGTATATTTTTTCACAATCTGAGTTTTCAGGGTTGGTCATGTTGGGTTTCATGCACTTGTTAAACACTTTCTCTGCAACATCTGCTTAAAATTAAATAACCATTTAAATTGGCATCCTTTTGTACCCTTTTTAGACGCTTTCTTTATACATGTATCCTCGTATGCACAATCACTTGAAATGTGGCAACGGTGGTATAATGGGATGAAAAACTTTCAACAAAAACAAATTCAACAAATGGAGAATTACATTCAAAGTAAAACTTTCTGTCATGGTGTGATTAACATGTTAGAGTTATGTCTCTTGATCATATCTGATAAGAAAACAACTTTACAGAGATTTATTTTACAGACAATGAGAATTCTTTACTCTATATCATAGTGTTCAAGTAAACTTCCTTACCTGGCATTTTGCGGATTAGTTTCCTAAGGGGAGTGTCCTTTCCTAAATCTTTGGAAACTGCTGTTTGGTTTTTCATAGCTTCTTCCCACTTGTCCGACTTAACAATTGCCATGGCAACATTCCTATAATAATATATTATAATAATAATATACTTATTATTATTATTATTATTATTCCTTTATGACCATGGATACAACCACATTTTGTACAATGTCTATATACTAATCTATTATTATTTAGGCTAACATAATAATTATTATGAACCAATACATAATATACTGTTGAATGCATGATAAAATTTTGAAATGAACAATATTCTACAATTATTGACTTCAATGTTACCCCAGCTTTGGGTAGAATACCATTTTCTGGTGACCGAAATACAAAGTTTATAACTGTTTTATTACATGAACGTCAGGCTAAAACATCAAACTACATAGCATTATACAAATAAATAAGCAACAAAGTTACATAAATAAATTAATGGGCAGCACAATTACACATATGTGTTTATTATATTATTATGTACTGTTACAAACCATGTATCTGGTAAGACACATGCAGTGAATTGCACTACAATTATTATAATGCACAATCCCATTCTCAAATACAACTACACAGCAAGATAATTCTAGAACGATATTATTGATCCAAAAGAAAAGAGAATTAATCTCCGCAGACAAGTTATAGGTTAGATAACTTTCAAAAATGATTAAAATAAATGAAAAAAATTTTAAAGACTGCATCATTATAACATGATTCCAGCAGCGTAATTACATAATAGGAGGATGAGTAACATATATAATGTGTTATAAAAATTGATTAAAATGAGATAACATGTACAATAGTGTGACAGCCTTTTGTCCAACTTACTCATGGTTGCAATCTATAGCCATATCCAGGCAGTTTAAGCCATTTTGATCTCTCTGCGCTATGTTTGCACCCATCTTCATTAGAAATTCAACCATCTCTGTGTGGCCACCCTTGGCAGCCAAATGAAGAGGGGTAACCTGAAAAATTAGAAGTTTTCAATAAGGGATTTGCACTTATAATTAATTGTCCTCTCAAGTCATTTTATGGCAAACTTTACATATAGCCTGCCAGAAAATTATGATTGTTAAATAAACATACTTGTTTATTGCTTTAAAGATAAGATAACAAATTTAAAGAGTTGTATTAAAAAATAAGTGAAACCCAATGCAAAGATGTTTTAGTAGGATACAGAGATATTTGGCCTTGTCTGCTGCATTCTTCCTAATTTTGTTATTGTCTTGGAGGTGTATTTGATGCAGGAAATAAAATACCCCTAACAGTTACACAAAATTAAAGAACAGAGATTGCTCTTTTGTCTCTACATGTACCTTTTCTTTATCAAGTGGATCAATGGGACTGTGTGCCTTCAGCAGTGTTTCTGCTGCCTTCACCTTGCCCATGAAGGCAGCACAATCAAGAGCTGTCCAACCTTTGGCATTCCTGGGAATGACAAACACAAGTGAAAACTATGGTTAACTTCTATTATCATAATTAAAATGTGCTCGCTTATACAGCAAAATTATTGCAGGACAAATCCTTAAGCTTGTTTTGTTTTTTTGTTCAGTACATAAATTGCCAATGCAAAATATTTATTGCATTTTTGTGACATATTTAAAAAACTAAGCATGGTTTGATGGCAATTTATAATACTTAAAATTGTTTGTACTAGCAGTTCGTGATTGTTTCTCACTGAGAATTATTACACAATAAATGTTTAATTAT